GGCCCTGCCTCATGCCAGTGCTTCGCCCCCAGGGTCAGCTCTGCTGGTCCAGGGGGAGGCTGGCACTCCGGATGGCATGGGCACTGCTCACCATGGGGACCTCGGTGGGGGGCTCACCAGTGTTCACTTTAACATTGGTCATCAGCCCAGACACAGATGCCGTCTGCACACGTGTGTGTGTGTGTGTGTGTGTGTGTGTGTGTGTGTGTGTGTGCGCGCGCGTGCATTTCCATTATAAAAGAAAAAGAAAGGAAATGGGAAAACTCTGCGGGGGGGTGTGGGAGGGCAGGGGAGTGAGAGTGTCTTTGAGAGTGGAGGGAGCAGAGGAAAGGCAGGAGGGTTTGTCTGCTCCGAGGGGAGGTGAGGTTCGGGGCCACCGGAAGAGCTGTTTCCACCCTGTTCCTCTGGGCGATGGGCAGGAAAGTGCTTTGATCCTCCAAAGCCAGGAATGAGGGTCTGGAAAGTCACGTTACAATGGAAAGAGGAGCCCCCTGGGAGATCAGAGCAATAAAGGCCCTGGCGAACGGGAATGGGAGCAAAGGTGAAGAAGTGGCAGGTGCTAGAGTTTCCAGCCCTGGCCAGGCTTATCAAGTGGCTCCAGCCCATCTGTCAGAAGCACATCACAATAATAATAATAATTCTGTCCTCTACAGTTAATGCAGACAAACAAACTGACCTCTCTGGAAGGCTCTGATGGGCCACTGGTCCAGGAACTGCTGCTCACCGTCAACTCCCGCCCACGTGTGGCTGGTGCCTTGGAACTCCAGGGGCCTCACACCAGCCTCTTGCACTTTCTGTCCCGCAGACTTCTTCCAGGGCAAGCACTTCTTCCTGTACGGGGAGTTCCCTGGGGACGAGCGGCGGAAGCTCATCCGATATGTCACAGCCTTCAATGGGTCGGTCTTCAGGGGATGGGGGTGGGGGAATGGGTGATGCGCCCAGGGGAGGGCTCAGGGACCTGGTGGGAGGGGTGGGGGTTGCGGGAAAGGAGGCCATCGGGAGGGTGGGGAAGGGACATACCCAGCAAGTGGGCAGAGGTCGTCAAGTCCAAATGCCAGCCCTGCCCAGTGTGCTGGGTGGCCCTGGATGCACTGCTTCCCCTTGGTTTCCTCCTCCCTAAAGTGAGGATCCCCACCCCACTTCTGAAAGGGCTGTTGTGAGGATTAGCCACTGTGAGGGCCATTGTCATTGTGGCAAGAGCCACATGGGAGAACGGAGGCTCACAGGCAGCCTAGAGGGGGCGTAGGTGGGGATAGAGAGAGGACAGCCACTGAGAACAGTTGGGGAGTAGGATGTCAAGACAGGGGACACCGATTCCTCTGCCTCTTCCCTCCTGCCAGGGAGCTCGAGGACTATATGAGCGACCGGGTCCAGTTTGTGATCACAGCTCAGGAGTGGGATCCCAGTTTTGAGGAGGTGAGTTCCAGAGGGGCAGAGAAAGGGAGACTCCAACCCAGTTTCGCATCCCCTCCAACCCCCTCCACATTCCCATATGCACCCCCACCCCACCCCGCAGGCCCTGATGGACAACCCCTCCCTGGCGTTCGTCCGTCCCCGATGGATCTACAGCTGCAACGAGAAGCAGAAGTTACTTCCCCACCAGCTCTACGGGGTGGTGCCCCAGGCCTGAAGTACGTGCTTGTGTGCGTGTACTTGCACGCACACACACACACACACACACACACTCGCACGCACGCAGAGATGAGTTTAATAAAGATGGCATAGTTTGGAGCAGCTGCCTCTTCTACTCAGGAGTCTTCCAAAACTCCAAGAGGCTTCCAGCTTTCTGTCTTATGTTTGGTTTTTGCTTCCTCTCTGTGAGGGCCAGGTCTCTGGGCTGCCTTCAGTCTCCTGTCTGGAGTCTGGGGAAGAATGACAGGCCATCTCTCAGAGATCTGGTAGGGAAGGAACTCTTTGTCTCTTCTCTCATCTCTGGCAAAAATGGGAGTTTGCAGGGAATTTGACCCGCAGTGCTGCCCCTCAACTTGTTCTGACCCTCTCAGCCGTTCCTGTGTCTTGATTGTCCCCCTGGGGGTCGTAGGCTGGAGGCCTGGATGCTCATGAGGAAGGCCACTCTCTTGAAGTCTCAGCGTCCGCAGGCCAGGGATATCAGCTTTTCTCCCGGGTCTTGAGAAGTAGCTGTATAACATCACCAGCATGGTTTTATGTCACCCAATTTAGGAGGTAGAATGGGACGAAGGGGCGTTTTCATCACGCCACCCAAATCCTGGACCCCCTTCAAGGCTCCACCGCATTTAAGAAGGGAACTGAGCAGGCATTAAGGAATCAGGGCAGAGAATGGGACAGTGCCCTCGGTGGGGACCACGGCATGGGCAAAGGCCGGGAAGTGGGAACTAGGCCGAGGCAGTCAGAAGAGCATTGCTGCCTCTGGTGAAGCGGCTTTGGGGGCAGATTGAGCTGGAAAGGTGGGCACAGTCCTTGCAGCTTTGCTGTGCAGTGTGGTAGCCACTAGACACAGGTGGTTAAGTTTAAATGAATTCAAATGAAATGAAATGAAAACTTCACTTCCTCAGTGACAGTGGCCATACGTTTCAAGTGCTCAGTGACTGCTGTGTTGGACAGCACAGATAGAGAACGTTTCCATCACTGTAGAAAGTTCTTTAGGACAGGGCTGGCCTGAAGGGCTGCGAACGCCAGGCCAAGGAGCTTGGACTTTATCCTGGGCGTGGGCGGGTAAGGGAGGGGTTTGAATAGGGCAAAGGCCAGGCTCAGAGGTAGGTTTGAGATCTGAGCTTTGGGTAACCTCTTCTGGGACATTTCAGGCACTTCCCCAACTTCTGCCTCATCAACCAACTGAGGGCTACCAATCTCACCTCTGTCCTTTCTGGATTTTTGCTTTTTCATCTTTTAAGATGAGGGTGGTGTTAGACTCCGCATTCACTCATTCCTTTGTTGGTTCACACTCGTGCTGATAACTCGCCGTATGAGTTTCCTGTTGCTGCTGCAACAAACCACTACAAAGGCAGTGGCTTAAAACAACAGACATTTATCATCCTACAGGTCTGGCTGGCTGAGGTCCAAAAGGGGTGTCACTGGGCTGAAATCCAAGGTAGGCAAGGCTGCGTTCCTTCCGGAAGCTCTAGGGAAGAATCTGCATTCTTGTCTTTTCCAGCTTCTAGGTGGCTGCCCACTTGCCATTCCCCTTCCATGTTCAAAGCCAGCCATGGCCACTTGAGTCTCACATCGCATCACTTGACACTGTGACTCTCCTGTCTCAGTCCTCCACATTTAAAGATCCCTGTGATTACAGTGAGCCCACCTAGATCACGGGGATCATCTCCCTGTTTTAAGCTCAGCTGATTCACAACCTTAATCCCTTCTCCTACCTTAATTCTCTGTCGCCACATAATATATTTGGAGGTTGCAGGGATTAGGATGTGAACATCTTGGGGAGCCCATCATTCTGCCTACCACACCCACCATGTGTGAGACACTGGGGAGACAGTGAAAAACTGGGGACACTAGTCCCCAGTCTCATGGGACTGACGTGCGGCGGGAGAGAGACGGTGAGTGTGTAATGCAGCCGTAGGCAGTGGGAAGCGCCACGAGAGCAGGGAAAGCAGCACAGTGTGATGGGGCAGTGGCGGGGTTGGGGTAGTTTAGATGGGGTGGTTGGGGAGAGGCCTTCCCCTCTGCAGGAACCTGGGAGAAGTAAGGGAATACCTGGGAGGGCCCTTCCAGGCAGAAGGAAAGCAAGTGCAAAGACCCCGAGCCAGGAGCAGGTCTGATGTGTTCAAGGAGGAGCAGAGGGTCAGGCTATGGAGAGATCCAGGATCCACCTGGACTCAGCCACTGCTCCACTGTTTGGTTTCAGGGAAATCCCACCTCTCCTGGCCTCATTTCCCCAATCTGTACAAGGTAAGGTTGGACCAGAGCAATACCTCACAAATGAGTTTGTGTCCTTCGCTGGTGGCGTGGTTGCTTTGGAGGGACTCCCCCAGGACAGCTTTCTGTATAAACAGATACAAGCAGCACTGCCAGGTTTGGAGAAGAGTGGAATCCTTGCCCCTCCCTGAACCTTCCCCACAAGGCCTTACCGAGTAGATTGCAGTACAGCGGCCTGCTGACTTCCATTGCCTGCTCAGTTCTACCTCTTACACTGGATACTTTCCACAAACAATCTCCCATTCCATCCTCCCCAACTTTCTGATCTCAGCTCCAACATTACCACCTTAGGAAGGCCTTTCCTGACCTCCTCTGCATAATAGGATATATTCTTACAATACTGTATCTCCATCATAGTCATAACTTTACATTTGTTTATGGTCAAATTTACCTGTCTTTTCATCTGTGATTTATACTTTTTTTTTGATCTCTTAAGGATACTTTTCCTCTAAGGTTACTGAGATTGTTTTCCTTTATTTCCATCTAAATGTTTTAGAGTCTTGCTCTCTTCAAGCTTATTTATTTATTTATTTATTTTGAGATAGGTCTTGCTCTGTTGCCCAGGCTAGAATGCAGTGGTGCAATCATAGCTCACTGCAGCTTTGACCTCCTGGGCTCAAATGGTCCTCCTGTCTTGGCCTCCCGAAGTATTGGAATTATAGCCATGAGCCACTGTTGCCTGTCTGTTCTTCAAATTTAGATCTTAAATCAACAAACACTTATTTTTTATGTGTGGTGTGAGGTAGGGATCTGTGTTAGTTTCCTATTGCTGCTATAACAAATCACCATAAGCTTAATGGCTTCTACCAACACAAATTTATTTTATTATAGTTCTGGAGGTCAGTTGTCCAAAATCAGCCTCAGTGAGCTAAAATCAAGGTTTCCGCAGGATTGTGTTCCTTTTGGAGGCTCTAAGGAAGAATCCATTTCCTTGCCTTTTCTAGCTTCTAGAGGTCTCCCAAATTCCTCGACATGGGGCCTTACATCACTCTAATCTCTGCTTTCACCATGACATCTCCTTCTCTGACTCCTCTGCTTCCCTCTTTCCCTGTAAGGACCTTTGTGATTACATTGGGCCTACCTGAGTAATCAGGATAATCTCCCACCTCAAGACAAGATCCTTAATCACGTCTGCAAAGTCGCTTTTGCCACCTGTAAACTAACACACAGGTTCTGGGGATTAGAATGTGAACATCTTTGGGGGACTATTATTCTGTCCACCATGGGATTCAATTTATTTTCTTTTCCAAATCTCTCAGCCCCATGTATTGATTTGTCTGTTCCCCACTCATCCACATCAAGGGTCTACAAACTATTAGCCCATAGGCAAAATCCAGCCCACCTGCAGTTTTTGTAAATAAAGTTTTATTGGCACATGGCCATACTCATTTATATATCATGTGTGGCTGCTTTTCTGCTACAGTGGCAGAGCTGAGTAATTGTGGCAGACACTGTGCAGCCTGCAAAACCTAAAAATATATACTCATGTCCCTCGACTTACAACGGGGTTACGTCCTGATAAACCCATCATCAAGTTTAAAAATTGTAAGTCAAACCATTGCAAGTTGGGGACTGTCTGTACTATTTGACCGTTTACCGAAAAAGTTTGCCACCCCCTGATCTACAAACAGGTAGAGTTTGTCGTATGTATAAGTACAGGTCTGTTTCTGAGCTCTCAGTTCTCTTCCATTGGCCTGTTCTCAAGCCAACACCACAAACTTCATTCACTACTGTAGCTTTGTATTAATTCTTGTGTCTGTAGGGGAGAGAGCCGAGCCTCCCCTACTTGTTCTTCTAAATGGACTTGGCACTTGGGTGCTGCTGCCTTTTTTTTTTTTTTTTTTAAGTGTGCACTTTCTTCCCTAAACCAAGTCTCTCTTCATTGATGTGCCACTAACATTTCATGCAGGGCCCAGCACACAGTAGGTGCTTAATACCTATCTGTGGAACAAAGAGCAGTCCGATGTTCGCTCATTCATCCTCAGTTTATAGTGGGAGAAACTGGCCCCCAAAGGGGAACTAGCTGCCCGAGATGATGCTTTTGCCCCCTTACAAATGCTTTACAACACCCCCATTTTATAGCTAAGACATCTGAGTCCAGAGAAGTGACAAAGCTTGGCCAACGCCCTGGCACTCGTAGGAAGTGGGTCAGGCATGGCTCTGAAGCTTGGGCTTTTAAATATTTTTATACTGCCAGTGGTACACCTTTATTCTTGCTTTTATCACCCAGTCTATCTTGGGAATCTTTCCACATCAGTACATATAGAGTGCTTTTTTCCTACAGCTACATATTCCATTCCCTGGCTGTATTATAATTCATGAATTAGTCCCCTATTAATGGACACTTCAGTTGTTTCCAGTCTTTGGCCACAACCATCACGCAGTGAACATCCTTACCTTTACGTCTTTTCACATGTGAGTCTATAGAATAAATTCCTACAAGTGGAATGGTTGAAACAAGCATGTGTATATTTAAACTTTTTAGATAAAGTCATATGGCCAAAGTGGAGACACCAATTTAAACTTTCAACAACAATAAGGAGAGGGCCTGTTTGCCCACAATCCTTACCAACCCAGGACGGTAGCAGACCTTTGTCATATAAGTGGGTGGGGAGAACCAGAGCTAGCGCTGTCAAGCCACAGCTCCAGATCCATCATTTGGGACCCAGTGCTAAAACTCTGTGGTTGACACCTTCCCCTCCCCAAAGCAGGTGAGCAAAGAGTTCCTCGGTCTTCTAAATTTGAGCCCAGAATAAATGGCCAGTTTCTCTTTGCCAGCTGTCTGGAACAGGCAAGCTGGTGTAGCCGGGCTTAGAAATCCCACCTCGTTGTTGACCAAGGCTGGCGACAGAGGGGGCTAGTGAGCCAACGGGACAGCTCACTCTCTCTCCCCCTGGCCCTCCGCCTGGTGGTGGCTGCGTTGATGCAGGAGCAGGAGGCGTCTCTGCCCAAAGGCCTGGCCGCAGCTGGAGCACTGGTGCCGGGCCGTGGCCTGGCTGCCCGGCGCTGTTGGGGGGTCGTGACATAAGCGATGGGCGGCCAGCTTGGAGGGAAATGAGAAAGCCTTAGGGCAGTGCGGGCAAGGGTAGGGGCGGGCGTCCGTGGCGTGGTGCGTGTGGCGGTGGGCCGCCAGCTTGGAAGGGTAGCAGAAGGACTTGGGGCAGTCGGGGCACGGGTAGGGGCGGGTGGGCGCGTGGGTCCAGAGGTGAGCCGCCAGCTTGGAGCGGTGGCCAAAGGCCTTCGGGCAGTGTGGGCACGGGTGCGGGCGGGCGCCGCTGTGCGTGAGGCGGTGGGCTGCCAGCTTGGAGGGGTAGGAGAAGGCCTTGGGGCAGTCGGGGCACGGGTGGGGGCGGGCGCCGCTGTGCGTGAGGCGGTGGGCTGCCAGCTTGGAGGGGTAGGAGAAGGCCTTGGGGCAGTCGGGGCACGGGTGGGGCCGGGCGCCGCCGTGTGCCAGCCGGTGCGTGGCCAGCTTGGACGGGTACGAGAAGGCCTTGTCACAGTCGGGGCAGCGGTGCGGGCGCTGGGGCGGGGGCCGCCGGCGGGGCCGGGAAGGGGCGCCCCCTGACGCGATGGGCCCTGGAGCCGACTGGCTGGGCTTCTGCGGTGGGCCCTGGTGGGGAACTGGGGGACAGGAGGGCTGGTGGGCTCCAGGAAGCAGCCAAGGCCCGGGGCCTAGGCCAGGCTCTGCCACCACCTCGATATTTGAAGGGCTCCTCAGAGTGTATCTGGGCACCTCAGGTGTCACACTGAGAGTCCCCAAATGGCATGTTTCTTCTCCGCCTCCCCCCATGTATCATCCTGAGGGGCTCCAAAAGGTTACCTTCCTGGATCCCCAAAGCTACTAAGGCTTCCTCAAAGCTAAGGTATCCGTTTCTAGTATATGCCCAGGGATCACCTTGAAATCCCACGTTATCCCCCTGTCTCTTCTGTAATTTCTTGAGCCCCAGCAAATGATCCCCGAGGGTCCCCCAAAGCCAAATGAGAGGATTCCCCAGAACGTCGCATTTTGGGTATCCGAAGTGGTCATCACCCAGGGCCTCAAACTTTCACCCTGAGATTCCCCCGAAGTGTGATTCTCTTAGCCCCTATTCCTGGAGAATGGCCCCTACTCACAGGCCGGGCCCCTCTCACCTCCTTTGGTCACCGGTTCCTTGCCAGTGGGACTAGGATCGGTGGTCCTGGCTGCGGGCTCCGCGCCCCTCTCCAGCATCTTGCTGGCACAGGAACCTAGGGACAGGGAATGGGGCGGGGGATGACGCCGGTTATTACCAAGCTGGTGGGGATAGGGATGCAGGGCCTGAAATCAGGGGTCAATCTGTTTAGGAGCGGGATCCATGCACGTCTGGGATCCTAAGGCGAGAGCAGCCGGAGCAGGAAGGCGGAGCCTAAGAACGCGCTGGGCAGGGCTATGCAAATGTAAAACCAAGGCTGGAACCTTTGAGCAGAATAGGCGGGGCCACTACAAGTCAAACCCAGCCGCGGTCCTGAGCGCACAGCGGGCGGGGCCTATCTCCAGAGTGGGCGGGGCTTTCCCCACCAGACCCTCCCGGCCGCGGTACCTATGACGGAGTGGGCGGAGCTATGCAAATAGGACAAAAGTCGGTTGCTCCGCAACTCAGACCCAGGGGCGGGGCCTTCAAGCGGAGTGGGCGCGTTTTTGCCACTGTCCCAGGGGAGGGGCCCGTGAGCACAGTGGGCGGGATTTCACGTCGAAGAGGTAGCTTTACCCGGGGTTTTGGTTTAGTCTCAGTCCACTGACGCCTCGTCAACTGCGTCCTTCTCGCCGCTAAATTTCATCCCGGTGTGGAGTTGGGGCTGTGGAGGACAGAGAGGAGACCTGGAGGAAGACATGGAAAGAACGCGGCTTGTGTTGTGATCCAGAGACCCCTAATGGATTTTTCCCCAAGCGTCCGCGACTCAATGCACCCCTCGGAGTCATGGCATTCTGGCACCAATGCATAGTCCCTCCCCAACCTAGGCGTGCGAACCTTAAACGATCCCCCTCCAGGAGATCCTGGCATGCAGCTCTCAATCCAGTCCGCACCCGAACCCCTGTCCCTCACCTGCAGGACGGCTCCTCCCCGGGGGCGGGGCTCCGGGCCCCTCCCGCCGCGGTCGCAGCCACGGCCACCGCTACCGCCGCCGCTGAGCTGTTCTCGGACCCGGCAGACCTGCACCGCCCGGCGCGCGCCCGGCGGCGGAGGAGGGGAGGGGAGGGGAGGACAGGGAGCGCGCGCGAGCTGCTCGGCCCAGCCTTATTTCCATCTCTTCCTCCCACGCCGGGCCGGAGGGGGCGTCAGTACGCATGCTCAGTCGCGGCGAGCCAGGGCTGCGGAAGGGGAAGATGGAAACGAAAGAGACGCTGGGTGAGCCAGGCAGGCAAGTTAATGAGCGAGCGCGAAGCTACCAGCCGAAGGTCCACAGCAAAGGGCACGGTCGGTTTTGGGGCCTATGGTGGCTGACTGGTGTCAAGCACGTGCAAGGTTAACATGGACAAACTGCGTTCGGAGATCAGTGAGACAGCTCCCAGCATATGCACCCTTCTTTTTTTTTATATCCCTCTTATTTTTGAGAATTCCCTTGGGAGTCTGAGTTCCACCTCCGGAAGCAGTTTCCAGAGCGCGTTGCCCATCCCACCCCTAGAGACATTTGCAAAAAGTCTGCCCATTTCTTCGAGAGAGGACGAGGGCGGGGCTCTGAGCTCAGAGCAAGCTGGTGTCCAATAAAAGGCACGTTATTTACATAGCGCCCGGGCACACTTCGCTATTGAGTGATTCAAGATTCTCAGCCACCCCTGCTTTACCTCCCTCTCGGGAACCCAGGCGGTCCCGAGGTGCCCAGAGCCATCTCCTGGTGCCAGGCCCGGGATGGCATGCAGCTTGGCATTCTCCCCGGGGAGTGACTGCACTTCCCTGCCCAGTGCCAGAATGACCGTGAAGTGCCCATAAAAGTCCTCCGCTTGGATGGGTCTCTGGTGTAATAACCCACAGGGTCTGGCGATCCCTGGGAGTCGTGGGACTCTGGAACCAGATTGCCTGGGCAACTGGTTTGGAATCTTGGCTCTGACACTATCTAGCTGTGTGACCTTGGGCAAGTCATTTCATTTTTCTGGGCCTCCGTTTCTTCATCTATAAAATGGAGTTGGGATTAAATGCGATAATCAACGTAAAGTGTTTAGAATAGAAAGTCCCTAGAGTGCTCAATAAATGTTATCAATATACTTTTTGTTTTTATTGTGCATTAAACTAGTTCCGAGGAGGTCAAGGTTGTTCTGGGAACAAGTGTACGGACCTCAACGTGGCAAGAGCATGCTGTGTCCAGGGGGGTCTCTCCTGCTATGTTATACCATCGCCCAGACTCTGGCCTTCCTTACAGTTCTTGTACATGCCATGGTCAGTTCTACCTCATGACCTTTGCACTAAGCTGTTCCCTCTATTTCTCAAGGCCCTTTTTCCATCTGTTTTCTCGCCTGATTTCCCCCTCAGGTCTCAGTTCAAGTATTAACACATCAGACATCTCCATTCCTCTGTTGTCTCCTCCCTCTTGTATGCACTTAACACTATATACCTGTCTTCTAGAATGCATGCCCTGTTAAGATGGACACCTTATCTATCTTGTCCATCTCTCTGTCCCCAGCATCCAGGACAGGGCTTAGCACATAGTAGGTGTTCAATAAATCTCTGTGGCATAAATATTTGAAAGAATTAACAGCCAGGAGCCCTCTGTAATGGGAAGATAGAACAATGGAGAGAAGAATGTAGAACTTGAGGTCAAAGAACTTGAAAAGGACCTAAGCTGAATGAGAAACCAGGATAAGGTTTTAAATGCAAGAGTAGCATGAACTAGTTTAGGTTTCATATACTTTTTTTTTAACCATATTTTTAAATTATGGAAAATTTCAAACATACAGAAAGGAGAGGGAAGGGGGAGTATAACTAACTCCCATATACCCATCACCCAGGTTCAACCTGGCCAGTCTTGTTTCATTATCCCCCCAGTACCCCTTTTTGATCCCCTTGGATTATTTTGAAGCACATCCCAGACTTCCATCCAGAAACACTTCAGACTGTGTCTCTAAAAGATAAAGACCCTCTCTCTTTAAAATAGAAACAAAACAAAACAAAAAAACCCACAACCACAATCCCATTTTCACACCATTAAAAATTTATAATCATTTCTTCGTGTTATCACATACCCCCATCAGGGTTCAAATTTCCCCAATTTTCCCATTAAGATCCTTTCCCCCCTTTTCCAAGCACAGTGTTTTATTTCAAATATACAGCGAGGTAGAATGATAAAATTGTTCTCTGCGTGGGTAATAGAATTGACCAGCATCAACAATTATCCACTCATGGTTAGTGTTGTTTCATTTAGCCTCACCCACTCCTCCCAAATGATTCTGAAGTTAAATGTCAAACATCATATCCCATAAATATCTTTTTATTGCATTTAGTTTGTTTGAATCAGGATCTAAACAAGCTCCACACCATTGCATTTGTTTGCTGTGACTCCCCAGTCTCTTTTTTATTGTCATTTTAAAGGACTCACTCTGGTTGCTGCATGGAAAATGAACTGCAACAGGAGGCAGAGTGGAAGCCAGAAGACCAGTGAGGCCACTGTTATATATTCATTCCAATATCAATTGCTAGCATTTATTGAGCATTTGTTATATACCAGAAACTGTCCTTATATGCATTAATTTGTTTAATCCCCACAGCAAGTTTTTAAGAGGAGGTGCTACTATTATCCTTATACAGAATAGAAAAATGAGATATAAAGAGGAAGGTCACCTGCCCAAGGCCATGTAGCTAGGCCCCAGCCAGGAAGTAGCAGAGCTAGGATTTGAACCCCTCAGCCTGGCCCTGGAGTCCAGACAATTTGCATTTACAATTTGCTATCTCTTGATGGGGGCAGAGGGTGCCATGGCAGAGGTTAACTCAATAGGGCTCAGCGATAAATTGGGTGTAGGTGGCAAAGGTAGAAAACAAGTCAAGGATAGTGATGAAATAATCATCGCTGACTCCCATCGAGAGCCTAGTCTGTGACTCATTGGACTTTCACGGAGGAGGGAAGAACTATTTTCAACCTCATTTTGCAGATAAGAAAACTGAATCCCAGAAGAATTTAAGTTTTCAGCCCAAGGTCATACAGCAGAGAAGGGTGAAGCCTCGGTTTCTAACTCTTAGGACATTTCGCAGCTGAGCCTACAAAAACCCCCGAGGGTGTGCCTCCAGGGGACAAAGCCAGAGTGGGATGTCCTATCTCACTACTGGATAGGGTTCCAAAGAGCAAACTTGCTGACAGCCCATGACTTTAATTATGTACGTGTGTACTTTTGCCCTCTCAACCCAGCTTTTCCAGATTCCGGGAAGAACTAGGAAAAGAAGGCCACAGTCCATGACTTTAGACAACAGAGTTTCTTAGCTCTAGGTCCTTGGCGTAAATGAATAACAGCTGTTTTTAGAGGTTCACAGCCCAACATAAGACAGACGACCCCCAACATAATACAGATGATCCTCAACCTGATTTTGCAAGATACAATGTAAAGATTGTATTTTAAAAAAATTTCTTCCTGGGAAGAGAGAAACATTCCTGATAAAATGCTTAGGCAACTTTGGGATGAACTTTACTGGGTTCGAGTGTTGTTCTGGTAGCCAGACACCCACTCAACAGTCCCTCAAGACACCAGTGAGCCAGAACCAAACTTCTTTTTCTTTCAAACAATAACTATCCAACCACCCGCACGGAAATGGCCCCACGGCAGTGAGTGTACCGGGGTCTCTTGTTGGGTTGCTATTTCTCTCTCTGTCTCTGTTTCTACAGGAGTAACTCTGTGTGTCTCTGAGCGTCTTTCCCTCGCTCTTTGAGTGTCTCCGGGTTCTCCGTTTCTCCGGATCACAGCGTCCCCGCGTCGCACGCTGTCTTCCTCTGTCTCCGGCCTCGAACCATCTCCCCAACCCGCCCCCACTCCCCCTACCCGGCTCCGCAGCGCCCCGCCTGGCGCCCGCGGCCCCTTTAAGGCAGGCCCCGCCCCTGCCCGCCTCCGCCGGGTCAGGTCCCGAGCACCGGACTTCGCTGGGGCCCGGTGTCCGCTCCGCGCGCACCCAGCGGAGGGCGCGATGGCGGGGTCTGCGCTGAGGATGGTCTGGCGGCAGCTGAGCCAGCGCACCGGGTCTGGAGCGCCCATCCTCCTGCGGCAGGTGCGAGGTGGCAGGACCGGGCCGGGGATTACTAGGCCCTAGAGGGACAGAGGGACGGAACTCCTGAGTCCTTTAATGGGGCGAGATCTGGGGGCCACACGCCTGGCTCTTGCGGAACGGGGTTGGGAGGGTGGGGCTGGACTCCTCGGTCCTTTAGCCGTGAGTTGTCTGAGGGACCCTGGGCTTGGGGCCGGACTCCAGGATCCTTTACGAAAGAATGTACGGGGGACCGTGATTTTGGGGTGTTAGAAGGTTGGAACGCCTGGTTCTGAAGGAGGAACGTGATGGGGCTGCCGATTCCTGACTGCAGGGGAGAGCAGGGCCTGGGATTTCAGCTTCTGGATCTTAGGAAGAGGACTGAGTCAAGGCCTGGACTCCTGGGTGCCCAGTTCCTCGGAATCTGGTTCTGCGCCCTCACCTGTGCCCCACCCCCTTCCAGATGTTTGAGCCCAAAAGCTGCACCTACACTTACCTGCTGGGTGACAGGGAGTCCCGAGAGGCCGTTCTGATCGACCCGGTCCTGGAGACAGCGCCCCGCGATGCCCAGCTGGTCAAGGAGCTGGGGCTGCGGCTGCTGTATGCTGGTCAGTCCGGGGACCAAAGTCTGGGGTCTCAGGGAGGCGGGCTGCAGAGGGGAGTGGGAAGCTGGGGGCCTGGACTCCTGGGTGGGCGGGAGAAGGGGTCTGGGGACGGGAATCCCCGATGCTCTCCACACCCTGCTGGACCTGTCCCTCCTCTCTCCCCCAGTGAACACCCACTGCCACGCAGACCACATAACTGGCTCAGGGCTGCTCCGGTCCCTACTGCCCGGCTGCCAGTCTGTCATCTCCCGCCTTAGTGGGGCCCAGGCTGACTTGCACATTGAGGATGGAGACTCCATCCGCTTCGGGCGCTTCGTGAGTTGGATGCTGGGTCCCCAAGAGGGTGGTGGCCTGGACTCGAACTTAATGGAAGAGAGGACTAGGGGCCTGGGATCCCGACTCCTGGGGGAGGAGAGACCTCAGGCCCTGGGGTTCCTGACGCCTGAGCTCATGTTTCTGGGAGGAGGGCACCATAAGCTCAGGTGGGGCACTGGGACAAGAGGTTCTGGGAGGGGTGTCTCTGGTAGAACCCCTTAAGTCAACAGCATTTATGGAGATTCCTAAGGCTTTGGGGCAGCGCCTTTGGCCTGGCATCTCCATAAAAGTTGATTGAGGGCTGGAATTCTGAGGCTAAGCCTGAGACAGAGACCCAGACAGAGTCCTGTCCTCTGAGAACCACCGTTTGCGTTTGCGGAAGGAGCATCCTGTTGCCCAAGGTCAAGGCTAGGGTGAGGTGCGTGGGGCCACTATAGAGCAAGATTTAAGGAGGCACTAACACTTAGGGACATGTCAATGCAGCATCAGCACCTCCAAGTGAGCGCCTCCTTAAATCTTGCGCTGAGTCCCAGCCCTGTGGTTTCTCAGCCTTGTGGTTTCCTCACTTAGGAATGGTCAAAGGTTCCTGCCTCTTCTTTACGGCTGGCACTGGCTGGCACTGGCTGGGGCTGGTTTCCGGCCAGAATTCCTACCCCATATGGGGGGGGGGTCAGGGGAGTTGCCCACAGAGGGAGGGAAAAAGCTGGTGGGGCTTTTTTTCTGATCAGAGTTGCCAAAGATATAGAGTTTGGCTGACTTTGGGGGCAAAATATCAGGTGAGGCCTCCAGGTTAGAGGATTTTGCTAAATAGGGACAGTTTGAGTCAGAGCATTCAGTGGAAATGTGGGTGACAGGGTTTAGCTACAGTGGCTACAGAATCTTTATTTTAAGCTTCTTTCTGGAAGCAGGTAAAACAGGCATTGTACATTTATTTACAGTGCACACAATTGGTGCTAACAAGCATTTCTTGGATTTGAGAGTGATGTTTTCAATGAACGAATGTTGTAGGGTTTAGCTGTGGTAGATTTATCTTCAATTTTTTTTCCTTTAATAGATATATTGATATAATCCACATATCATACAATTCACCCATTTAAAGTGTACAATTAGGCTAGGTGCAATGGCTCATGCCTATAATCCCAGCACTCTGGGAGGCCAAGGCAGGAGGATCATTTGAGAGACCAGGAGTTCGACGCCAGCCTGGGCAACACAGTGAGATCCTAGCTGTACAAAAAATAAAATTAATTGGGCATAGTGGCTTGTGCTTGTAGTCCTTAGCCACTTGGGAGGCTGAGGCAGGAAGATCACTTGAGCCCAAGAATTCAGGGTTACTAAAGTAGGCTATGATTGTGCCACTGCACTCTAGCCTGGGTGACACAGTGAGACCCTGTCTCTAAAAAAAAAAATAAGGAATAAAAATTTAAAAAACCCCAAATTTGGTCTACCGGCCATAGTTTGCCAACCCCTCATGTAGAACATTTCATTGTGTGAATATACCATAATTTACTTATCCATCCTTTTGAAGATTCTTTCCAGTTTTGGGTTACTATGAATAATGCTGCTATGAAGATTCTTGTGCAAATCCAAAGAGTAGACTTGCTGGGTCATAGCATTGACATACGTTTATGTGTTTTACATTAGTAAAAAACTGCCAAACAGATGTTTGAACTACTTGTACGTTCTGTACTCAAGGTGGAACAAATTTAGGTGAATTTCATTGTAGAATGAATTTTCTTTTTTAATAAGCAGTGATTGACAATTGAATATTTTAGCTCCTGTGGGGGGGTGGCAGATTTAGAAAATTAGACTTGCCTGTTAAACATGTTGATTTAGAGAGATGCTGCTCAAAATACCAATTCCCGAGGTCCCACTTTAGAGATTCTAATTTAATCATTCACGATGGACACCGGGAGTCAGCATGTTTTAAAAGCTCCATAGGTGATCCTTATGCGGCCCACGTGTGGGTTTCAGTGCTTCCTTCTACTTGGAATTAAGTATTTAAATTATGCAACAAGTCATTCCCCCCCCCCAACATTTTATTAGGAAAAATTTCAAGCATAGAGAAAAGCTGAAAAAATTTTTATAATATACACCTCTATGCATCCCACTCCATCTTATTTTTTTGATGTATCTCCAAATTGCACATATTGGTTTGCTGCCTTCTAATCAGAACAAATAATTTTAATTTTGTTTTTGTTCACAAAATAAAGGAAGATGGTTTAGCTGATGGAGGTTCAGAGTGTTTAGCTATAAGGGAAAATGACATTTTGGGTTTGGGGTTAGAGGGCATAGGAATGGTGGATTGTTTAATTACAGCAGTCCCCGCTTATCTTCGGGTTCCGTCTCCCTGGTCTCAGTTACCCTCAGTCAACTAGGTCTGAAATTTTTTATTTTATTTTATTTATTTATTTTTTTTCAGACAGAGTCTTACTTGTTGCTTGGGGTAGAGTGCCGTGGCGTCAGCCTAGCTCACAGCAACCTCAAACTCCTGGGCTCAAGTGATCCTCCTGCCTCAGCCTCCCGAGTAGCTGGGACTACAGGCATGCGCCACCATGCCCGGCTAATTTTTTCTATATATTTTTAGTTGTCCAGCTAATTTCTTTCTATTTTTCAGTAGAGATGGGGTCTCGCTCTTGCTCAGGCTGATCTCGAACTCCTGAGCTCAAACGATCCAACCGCCTCGGCCTCCCAGAGTGCTAGGATTACAGGCGTGAGTCACTGCGCCCGGCCTAGGTCTGAAAATTTTAAACAGAAAATTCCAGAAATAAACAGTTCATAAGTTTGAAATTGCGTGCCGTTCTGAGTAGCGTGATGAACTCTCTGGAGTCCTGCCTTGGCCTGCCCAGAAAGTGAATCATCCCTTTGTCCAGGGCATCCACGCTGTCTACACTCCCCAGCCATTAGTCATTTAGTAGCCGTCTTGGTTACCAGATCGACTATCCAGTGTCACAGTGCATGTTCAAGTAACCCTTATTTTACTTAATAATTTCCCCAAAGCACAAGAGTAGCGATGCTGGCATATTGTTACAATTGTTCTATTTTATTATTGGTTGTTAATCTCTTATTGTGCCTAATCTACAAATTAAACTTTATCATCGGTATGTATAGGAAACAAATAGTAAATATAGGGTTTGGTACTAACTGGGGTTTTAGGCACCCACTGGGGGTCTTAAAAAAAAAAATGTATCCTCCGCGGATAAGGGGGGACCACTGTACTTTTGATTAATGGAAGGAAAGAATAAACTTGGGAACCAAATGGGAAAGAAGCCGAGAGCGTTCTTGCCACCAGGGGGCAGTGTAGGCCGTGAGAACTGCAAGGCCAATGAGCTGAATTTGCTCGGCCTGCGCTGTGTTTAGCTGATGGGGGTAGTTTCAGATTTAGCAGCTGCTGGAAACAGTTGAAAGAATAGCTGTGGAGACGTATCTCCTACTTGATGCATCGTGGAAGGGAAGAATGAATTTGCTGAAAGAATTTGGGGTTAGGCAGAGCTGCTGCCATGTAGGCAGGGCCCAGGTGTAATATTCTGCAGCTCGGGAGGTCCCTCAAGTTTAGGGACATTTGAGGCTGCGTTAGGTGGACATGTTAGGTACTCCTTACCCACAACTTTTTATTTCGCCTTTTTTCAAATCTGTAGTAAATTGAAATACCAGCACAAAACACAGGAATACACAACCACACGTTCCATCAGCCGTCAGAGCAATGACATCATCACGGGGCATGGCACTTCTGGAAAACTCCACCGAATGCTTGAAGGAGAATGAGAGTGAAAAGGGGAAAAGGCTTTTTGAAGTCTGTTAGGAGAATAGTTTGGATCTTGCAGCCCCTCAGGGTTCCTCCTACTACACTTTGAGAACCACTCTTTTACAAACTCTTTGTCGCCTCTAAACAAATGTACAGTAACTTTGTATCATCATTAAATAGCCAGCCTGGGTTCCAGTTCCTCCAGTTGCCCCAGAAATAATTTTTACAGCTGATTTTAGGAACCAGGACCCAACTGAGGTTCATGCGTGGCATTTGATTGTTACTTCTATTTAGTTGTGTGTGTGTGTGTGTGTGTGTGTGTTTTCCTTTCTCTTTCTTGTATTTTGTTTTTTATTTTACTTTAAATAAATTAATTTTTAACTCTCTTTTGATCTAGAATGGTTTCATTTCCTTTTTGTCCCATGACATTGCTTTCGAAGCTTCCTAGCCTGTTGTCTTGTAAAATGTCCCGCGTTGTGGATGTGTCTGAGTATTTCCTTGGGGGGTGTCATTTAACCTGTTCTTCTAAAACTTCTCTTTCCTATAGACGGAAGTAGGCTGTAGATATTTTTGTATTAGTTAGTAATAATAATTTAATAACAAGTAACACACATCGAGTGTTTACTTCTCACCAGGCATTGTGCTAAACTCTGTGAGTGAATTTTCTCAATGTTTATCTTGAAGGATTTTCAAAATCAGATATCACCCCCTCCTTCCTCCTCTTTTTCAAGGCCAAGTACATGCGGGGTTCTCCCAGCTTGGACGTGAAGGAGCCAGGATTTGAACTCAGGCAGGCTGGCTTCAGGTGCCTTGCTCCTAACCACCAAATTCTTTAGCTCCCCACATGACAGAGGGGACGTTTAAAACAGATTGTCCTGCAGTAGGGTTGATGCCCGGGGTTTCGTCTCTCAGAGGTGCCCCTCTCGCCTGCCCCCAAATGAATGTGCATCTTTCCTCCTCAAAGTCTAAGGAAGGCCAGAGCTCCGTTTCTGACCTTATATCCTTTCCTTACTGATAATACAGAAAGATAATAACAACTATTAATTCAGACCTGATATACAAAGTTCGCAAACTTAAATGCTCACAGAGCCTGTGCAAGTGAACAGTGTTCTGCCACTTCCTGTTATGTGACCTGGAGCAGGTATTTTACCTCTCCAGGCTCAGTTTCTTTATCTGGAAAATGGGTACGATACCGGTGCCTCTTGGGTATTGTGAGGATTACATGAGTGAAGCCATGGAAGGTGCTTAGAGCATGCCT